CTACGTACTACCACCACCACCACCACGCAACGTTTCCGCCGCCCCTACTGACCTAATGACTGAGCAAAGCCGATTCCGGCCCCGACTTGGGAGAGAGGGTATTGTTGCCTCGAAGCACACGTTAGCGTCCTCTCGTGCACTCTTGGGTCGCGGCATGTTGAAGAAGCCATTGTTACGGCCCGGCGTCAAAGCCGCCGAAATCCCGGAGGCCTTGTGCATGAGGCGTCCCCTACCACACTCAGTTGCGGATCCCACAGCTCTTCAACTGCCCCAAGCCTTGATAAACTCGGGCTTCACGCTGGCAATTTCCTCCCGTTGCGTGAAAACGACCAGTTTATTGACGCAGCAGCCCTCCGTCGTCTCGCTGCATACTGCATATTTGCTTCTCCGCATGTATCACGAACCCAAACTGTCCGAACTGACTGACTTCTGACTTATTTCTATGTAGAGGACTTGTCTGCCTGTCCATACATAGGTGCATATTTAATGGCACTGCGGAACAGTCGCCCCAGCTATCCCCTCAGTTTGCGGCACCTCGGGCGTACAGCCGCTAAGGCACAGCACCAGCAAAGCACAAAGGCCTGGCAAGCTACCACAGGACATCTTCGTAAATCTGTTGATTCTCTCAAGCTGTTTTCTGCCACCTCAATTGCACCGAGCCTTTGGATATCAGGGCATCTGAGTCTCCTTGGAAGCTGACGGTGCCGTCCTGGCAGCAGACCCTGGTGCCAGACATGCTACTTCTTCTGTGGCTTGCTCTATCTTGGACCGTCACGATCAACTCTTCGAGCATGACATGAAATTCCGCATCCCTACGTCCTCCTCCAGCCGGGCACTCACCTGCAGAGGGGGCACAACTTCACGCAAGCTCCTTTCCGTCTACCTCGCACGAGGCAGCGTAGAGCAAGGCATGAACAAAACACAGGTACACACAGACGGGTGCGACACAGCCGTTCAATGCTGCTCACTCAAGCACTTGCATGAACCTTACCAAGATGTGACAAGCTACTTCAAGTGCTCACACTCCGCTTCTCCTCCTTCCTGTCTTCTTCGTTCTCATTCACGAAACGACTATGATGAGAGATGATCGGCTAAGGCCCCAAGCATGCACAGTGCTCAAGCAGCCAGGGACCTGCAGTGAGTTTGGGCTGTTGGGGATGTGAGGGGGCACATGCTATCTTTACGCAGATTGTGCTAGTTTCGACGGCAGGCTCGAGGCAGTCGTGTCTGGGAGCCACTCTCCAATACTCACGAAACCCTGAAGCCGCCAGCAACGCAACACCCGACAACCATGTCCCTCACGTAATTCTCGGCACCTTGTTGTCCGGAAGCTTCAGCTCTGCTGGCATCGCTGGCAGCCTGCATCGTAGATGCTTCGAGAATTATCGCTACCACTACAAATACCACTACTTAGTAGTAGTAG